CCCCCCCCCCCCCCCCCCCTGACTGCATCGATCGCTCGCAGGGTACTTTCATCGAGAAAGAGGTGGCCCGCATTCGCGAGTTTGTCGGGCCCACCGCCAGGGTTTTGGGTGCTATCTCAGGCGGCGTGGACAGCAGTGTGGCGGCAAAATTGATGCATCAAGCCATTGGCGATCGCTTCCACGCCGTCATGGTTGACAATGGCGTTTTGCGGGCTGGAGAAGCGAAGCAGGTGGATGAAATGCTGAACAAGCATCTGGGAGTCAACGTCACCATTGTGGACGCATCCGACCTCTTTCTCTCCAGACTCGAAGGCGTCGAGGACCCGGAACAGAAGAGGAAGATCATCGGCAACACCTTCATCAACGTCTTCGAGGCCGAGGCTGCAAAGCTGGAAAAGCAAGCCGAAGAAGAAGAAGCTGAAGCGAAGGGATCTGGATCGCAGCATGAACCCAAGGGAAAGTATGAGTTCCTCCTTCAAGGGACTCTCTACCCAGATGTCATCGAGAGTATCAGCTTCAAGGGACCTAGTGCTACGATCAAAACTCATCACAACGTTGGTGGCTTGTTGGCGGACATGAAGCTGAAGCTGATCGAGCCATTGAGAGAGCTCTTCAAAGGTAAGAATGGTGATGGTCACTTTGTCAAAGGGAGCCCCGACTTCCTGTGCTTACATAGCGAATTTATATCCGTTCAACAGACGAGGTACGGGAATTGGGCAAGTTGCTAGGCATTCCAGCGCATCTGGTCGGCAGACATCCTTTCCCAGGACCAGGTTTAGCCATTCGCATCCTGGGCCCAGTAACGCGGTCCCAGGTAGCTATTCTGCAGGCGGCCGACTCGATTTACATCGAAGAGATCAGGAAGGGTGGGTTCTATGACCAGATCAGTCAAGCGTTCGCAGTGCTGTTGCCAGTTCGAGCCGTTGGCGTGCAGGGCGACAAGAGGACATATGATCAAGTGATCGCGTTGCGAGCTGCGCAGACCACCGACTTCATGACTGCCACTTGGTGAGAGACAACAAGCGGGCTTGACGTGATGCCGGACCGCTGTACTGATGGACTTCTTCGCCCCGCGCAGGTTCAATTTCCCGCACGATTTCCTCTCGAACCTGTCCAATCGGATCACTAATGAAGTCACGGGTATCAATAGAGTGGTGATGGACATCTCGTCAAAGCCTCCGGCGACGATCGAGGTGAGACCGAGTTCTCGTCCCGGGACAGACCCGCTCCTCACCCATGCTAATTTGCTGCGTCTTGACGTTGGCAGTGGCTTTGAACAGCAGCACAGACCTTCGGTAGCTGCGCGTATTGTTGCAATTTATACAGATGATCAAGTCACTCATCTGCGTCGCGACCACGCCTGCACGTGCGACGGGTGGGTGTCGATGACATAGGGTAGCTGTCTTGCAGCAAGAGCTGGCTAATCTAGGCACTCAGAGAGATTCTGCCTGGGACTGTCGGACCGATACTTGGATATTGCGAGCTTCCTGCAAGATCTGTAAGGTTTGCGCGTCAGTATAACAGCACAGTCTCTGCAGGTGTGATGCTCTAGTAGCTCACCCGATCGACATCCAACTGTGGCAGGCTATAGAGCATGCTCTTAGCTTCCGATTGATCCAACTCTTCTAGTGCGTCTTTGCAATTTGTCAGGATGGCGATGCAAACAAAGAGGTGCAAGTCAAGCGGGTCGGGGATAGCGAAATAGGTGTCTGTCAAGCCCGGGCAAGATGCTGTAGAGTCAGACAGACGGATTGCCCACCGTCTCGTATTTTACCGGCGCTTTGCACTCACCCCATAGGCGGAGCAGGTCATCCATCTGCATTTCGCCGGCTAGCAGATGCCTCAGCCAGCTGGTGGCGAAAGCAACCACATCTACCTCTTCCTCTTCAAAGTATGCGTAGAGATCAGGTAGAGTGGTTCGAAAGAGTGTCAGGAATCCAGATACTTGGGCGGGCAAGGGATTGCGAGCGTTGTATTTGTCTATCAATGAGAGTCGCAATAATTCGCGTCAGCAAAGGTGGCCCGCTGTGTAAGGTGATCACGCCGTAAAGCTCACCAATCATGCTCATCAATTTGTCGAAAGCAAAGAACATACCAGCTTCCACTCTCACGCATTTCACGAAGGGTGCGCATAGAAAAACGAGATCTGGACTGAAGCCCTCGAAGGTGGCGCGTGGTGCTGTTGTGGTGCCTTCACGTGCTTGGGGCGAAACGCTTGCCGCCCCCTCGATAGCGGCCTCAGGTGCCCCGTCGCTCAAGCTGGAGCGATGTCGGAAGTGGTCAGCAGCAACGACGGAGCTGACAGACTGACCGCTGCTGACACCATCGAATGCCGTCGTGGAGTTCACAGCGATTGCTGGTCCAGAGTGAGCCCATTCGTACTCTCGAGGCAAGCTCGCGCCAGGCCGCATCGTTGAAGTCACATCGGAAGCCGTTCCTGAGTGATCATTGCGGGCTTCCAAGTGCGCAGAGGAAGCACCCTGACTTTCCTGGGATGGGCTTGCGCTCAGTGGTGCAGTTTCGTGCTCGTGCATCGCAAAGTTGGTACTCGATGAAGATTGTGAGTTGCTGGCTGTGCGTTCCGCACTCTCTTGCTGGCTTGAGCTTGCCTGAAAGGACGGCCAACTGGACAATCTCGATGTCGAGGCTTGTCGAAGCTCGTGCGGACCATCTCCTTTGCTACCGAAGGAGCTGTGATCCGATCCGCTATCGCTATCTACAGTCTTGAACGGGGCCAGAATGACGGAGTCTTTCCTCTCTGTGTGCCTGCCGCTGTTGTGATCCCAACGATTGAGATGGGCGCATACAACGCTGCCGACAGCTGCCGAAAAACGCTTGAGCTCTTCGGCCGCCGCTGCTACCGGATCTTCGTCTTCATGTGACCCCAGCATTCCGGAGCTGCCAATCCCACCCATGATTCCGACGCGGGCGTTCGCCAATGCTCCATCAATGCGATTGGGCCCACGTTCGCGAGTGCCTGTGGCGCTACTCAACGCCGAGTCTCGAGAAGCGCTAGGTTCATTGCTGCTGGAGGCGAATTGCGAGGCGTGATATGGATGATGATTTTCCTGCCATGGCATGGAGTATATGGCCGACGTGGCCTGTGAGGATGGTCGATGCGGAATGCGTTGCGCTGC